AACAGGTTTATGTATCCTCTCCACCACTTAAACCTGAACTGTCCTGCTTCTTGTTAAAAAAATCATCTATTTTTCAAATAGGCATGCCATTTCACTGGCTGCTGTTATATTTGAGACATATTAACTTGCAAGTCAATGGAACCTTTTCTTAACCAAAATGGTACGCTCTGGATACACTGGACTGTTGGCCACAAACTCCCACAGGCCATGATAACTGGGGTTCATGAGGGATGTAGAACAACTGAAAAGCAGCTGATTAGGAACGGATGTTTTTTATTATTCAGAGTCTTAATGCAAATGCAACACGCACAAGCTGAAATCCTGTTGCTTAGTATAGTAGGTCACATTAGAGTAGCCCTACTGGATCAGTGGGGATTTGGTGAGTCAGCTCCTATCTGTGTTGATTCAAATGGGTCTACTCTAGTTGCCACCGTGAGAAGGAGCAAAACTTCACCAGAAAGTAGGGTGAGCTGTTCCCTCAAACCACTACTGCAGAGGGTTATAACACTGGTTCTTAACCTTGGGTTACTCAGGAGTTCTGGACTGCAACTCCCAGAAGCCTTCACCACCAACTGTGCTGACTGGGGTTTCTGGGAGTTGCAGTTCAAAAGCATCCGAGTAACAAAGGTTAAGAACCACTGGGTTATAAGACCATCTATACGCTGTTACCGGCGAGGACTTATTTGGGAATACAGGAGGCAAAGAGCGAGAAAGAGGAGGAGAAAAAGAGCAGGAAAGCAATGGTTGGGGAAGACACAAACCAACAGAAGAAGGGTATCCGGTGATGGAGGTGGAGGGAGAGATAAAAAGGGAAGTAGACTGGGAGACAGAGGTAGAACAGGAGGAGGAAAGGAGAAAGAAGAGTGAGGAAAAGGATGAAGATATACCCATTGGATGGGGATGGCTGGAAATGGAGGAACCATGGACCAGAGAGAGAGTCAGGATGAAATTACCTCTTGAGGAAATAGAGAGGAGTATTATACAACTGCTCTGGCTGAGGCTAAGAGAGGGAGAGGAGATATACAGAAGAAAGGGAAAGCAATTAGGAAAAACGGAACCTGTAAAATGAACTATTCATGTGCATCCAAAAGGTGAGGATCTCTGGAAGAAGGGAAGCAGACCGGTACTGAGCAATCGACTAATGACGCCTACAGAAGGGGAGTGGTATCAACACCCTTGTTGTGGGACCATTTGCCCCAGCCCTGGAACCCGACCGATCACAAACACTTTAGGGTGAACCCCCGTTGGTGAAGTCTTTCTTAACAGCTGAGTTCAAGGACAGTTGACATAAAAAGGACCGACAGTATTAGGCGGACCCGTTGATCCTACAGAAGTTGTTGTCCACGGTTCTCCGTTGTCAGTTAATAAAACGCTTATGCACCTTGAAGAGTCGTCACCAATTTCTGGAGAATGAAAGGGAGGACGGAAAGAGCCCAAGCCTGAAGCCACTTACAGCCACTCATGTTAGTGTAGCATGTATGTAAGTATGTAGCAACTACAGTAGGCCCATTTGAATCAAATGAACTTATATATGAATTGACTCACTAAATCGTCACTGATTCAATGGGCCTTCTCTAGTGTGATTTAAATTACTACACTAAGCAATGGGATTTTAGCCATAAGTTCATTCTGAAACTGTCCAGGACACTCCACATGCAGGGTGTCGTAGCAAGTAAGCAAAATCACATTCATCCACAAAATGAAAAAGCTCTGTCCAGATTGTTTGCTTAGTAAAGTCTTCATCAAAGTCCATACTGTATTTTGAGAACAGGAAGATACTGCTATGCTGAGGCACAGAGATATCAAAAGAGTGCAAGATCATTCTATGAGTGATCTTTTCTTCCTCTCCTTTCTTTCCTTTACATTTCTATATAGGCCATCCAAACGGCAGGATGTTTTACACATA